AAATGGAAACTCGAAAAATATCCTGGCCCCAGATGGGATTCGAACCAACGACCCCCTATGATTTTAGTCGGATGTTCTAACCACTAAGCTACTAAAGACTCGATGGCGAGCACGGGTAAAATGTGCTTTAGGTTAGGTCAGTCAAAAGAGGTTTTGATCCGTCACAGGTCAGTACGCAGCTTTTAATGGACCTATGTCGCGAGGATATTGCTGTTTTAGGTTAATTCAGTGTTGAAGATCATTAATTAGTACTTTTACCCAAACACAATATGCTCCTGTAGACTTTTAGAGAAGAAATCATATGAAACTGTTCTAGTGAGGCCTTAAGCTGCTGTTGAAAAAGTAAAAACTAAAATCCAAGTTTTCGCCGATCAACGGCATCATGAGGTCCATGAGGGATGAGAAAATATTCCGCCCGCGCTATATATATGCAAAGAAAGTGTAGGGTGAAATGTGTAAAAGATGTGACGTATGTATGAAAGCTATAGAAATAAACTGTGAATCAAGAGACTATAAAGGGGACAGAGAGGGCATCTCCCATATACACCCTATTCCATAGGTAATTCGTCTCGAGTTATTTTTAACACCACAGATCTCAAGGGGGATTAGAAAACAGCCAATCACATAGCGCGAATGTGTTCCGCGTGGATGACCGACGCTGAGAGCCACGCGTCCTTCACGAAATGACGCAGAACAAACTTGGGGAAGACGCGCAGAGCGATTTTGCTATTCCTTTTGTCGACGAAAACGACTACAGCGAGATTTCTGCGAAAGCTGTGTCAGCGAAACCGAAATTAAAAAAGAATCGCCCTTCCTCTCTTGTATAGAGCTAACAGTAGAGCAGGGAAATCCTTAACACACTGAATGTTCTCTCAGGATCATTTATAATTTGTATAGGTAATAGCATGATTTGTAGTGATATTTGGCATAAATACCACGAGTGATTTTTCGAAATTGTTATACGTAATTTCACGAGCCGTTAGGCGAGTGAAATTTGAGACAATTTTGAAACATCACGAGTGGTATTTATGCCAAAAATTACGTACAAATCATGCTATTATTTGTTTATACTACTACTCACAAAAGGGTTGTAATTTTCACATGTAGGTATTTCAAATTAAGCTGAAATACCACTGCTCTAAGCCAATCAAATTGCAGAAATTTCTCATGTAGTAGTATAAACAGTTCGAACAGAGCAATTTCTGGTTTGATGTTTATTTTTTTCAGTCTTTATAGCGATTATTCCTACCCACTTACTTTGTCAATTGTAGGCGAACCTTCCTAAAGCTGAATTTCAAGGGACCATATTCAAGCTCAGAAAGAGAAATAAAATTTCGTCGTTGCTTATTTACGTCCTCCATAAAACGCGAAATTAGGCATTTTCACGTCGTAGTCGTGCAAAAACGGGAAAGAAATGAACAAAAAAGTGTGTTGCACGTGCGAAGTTGTTGTTTTGCTAATTAAACCTATTGTTTTTTTTGACGTTCTAGTTGTCGTCCGCGTCGTTGGATCTTAAACTCCCTAAATTGTACAAACGACCGGTTTCAATAGACCGGCGAAATTTCTCATTTTATTAAAGCACTGAGGTTACGACAACTTCGAGTTAAACTGATTTCACGGGTTGTCAAAGAGTCCAGCGATTCCTTTTTCCCAGGTGAGCGCCGACTCATTTCGCTTCAATATTCAGGAATGCTCTCGATCTTTTTACGCTTTCATTGCCTCTCGCCCGACATGTTTTGCACGGCGTTTGGTCATGCGAAACCTCGACGAAACATCCACGCCTCGCGCGAGGTAACTTTATCCCGATTCTAAAAATAACTCGAGACGAATTACCTATGGAATAGGGTGTATATGGGGGATGCCCTCTCTGCCCCCTTTACAGTCTCTTGCTATGAAATGAATACAAAGCTCTAGTGATGGAGTGTCTCTAGACAAAGGACCTCTAAAAAAGCTTAAGAATGGTCTCTAAAATAAAATACTAAACTAGAAGGTCTGCGAATTCAGTACATTCTTCTCGGGAATGAGTGTAGGCTTGCACTTTCTAATGTAATATGCTTCATAGAGGCGTAGATTAGCGGGGTTGTTTTCGCTCATTATAATCTTGACATCAAGACCTTTACAGTCTTTGTTCTGGCAGGAATAGATATGCTTTTTAACAGAGGAGTTTTCCTTACTGAGATGTTCTCTTAGGGCCTCTTTACGTGGAGGCGGGGGACCCCAGATAGGTAAGGTAACATGTGGTGGGTATAACCCCACCTATCATATAAACGTGATCAAATTAAATGAGTGATTATATGGACAGGCGGGTTACCCCAACTAAGGAGGTTACCTCACCTACCTGGGGTCCCCCACCTCCATGCAAACAGGCCCTTACGCGGTCGTGGATGAAGCGTGTCGTGCTACAAATGTATTGTTGGTCGCACCTGTTACAAGTGAGCTGGTACACTGCATTTCTTCGTAAACACAATCCGGTGTTAGAGATGGGGTATTTGTCTCTAGTGCATTTGCGCTCCTTGGAGGTGTGGGATAGGGCTTGTCTGAGCGTGTAGGATTTGTGGGCAATGCGTACTGGGATGTTCTCTTGTCTAAAAATGTTAGTGATCCTGATTCTCATCCCTGATGATGCCGTTGATCGGCGAAAGCTTGGATTTTAGTTTTTATTTTTTAAAAAGCAGTTTAAGGCTTCACTAGAACAGTTTTTATTATATATTTTTAATTATGCTGCTAAAGGACAACATGAACAGATTATTATAGAGAATATTTAACATTTTTTAAGGTAACACCAACCATAACAATTTTTGGTGATCGGTTTTTGCAGGCATAGCAGTCAAACTTGAAAAAGTCGGCCCAACTTTATCAAGTTTCAATCTATGTCCCTCCTTGCCATCCGTCACAACAGACGACAATAAACAGTACTTTTCAATGCCTAAACATAGTCTTAAACATCAAAACTGGAAAATTACTTGTGGAATTTAATTGATGAGAAAAAAGGAGTAGCTTTTTAAAAATATATGAAATAACGTGACGTAGACCCTTAAATCACAGACCCAAGTACAGTACAACCTTCTTAATACACATGAATAAGGGACAGAGCCGCATTACAGAGGTGAACATGTTTTAGAGGTAAGGATTGTAAAAATTGGTCATCTTTGGGGACAAGAGGAATATTCATAATAGAAATGTTGTTAAAACGAGATAATTTTAGCGCGTAAGGGAAAGGGAACGCCAGAAAGTTCAGAGAAGTCGTTACATACCGAGATGCTCATCCGCCCCGATTTTCTGAGCACCACGAGAAACTGCGAAACAGCTAAGTGACTATGGAATTTTATGAGTAAAAGATGCGGTAGTCAACATTGGAAACAAATTTTTGTTGACGGCTTTTACGCGAGAGAAATACCGCGGGAAGCTGATTTGCCCTCGTTGGGTGTTCTTTCGTCAACCACTTACCATCATAGAGAACAGCAACATTTTTGAACGCATAAAATTTCATCACATCAAACAAAGCCTTGTTAACAGTACGATACGACGGTCTGACTGACACGATAAGCTCATGTTCTGTATCCTCTACGATTGCGTCCACTTTTATCAAAGGAACGTGGAGGAGAGAACTCAGGGCGAAAGCCTTTTCGTCATTGCACGCGAGGTCGATAACAGTCATCGCCAAAGCCAACTTGGATGTTACCTCTGAATAGAAAAAGATTAAAAAAATTGTTTTCTCCCACTACTCCCTTTCGGCCCCCGATGTGACAAATTTAGTACCTATTTATTAAATATTAATGGCCAGGAAATTAAAAGTCTTACCCTTCAAAGCGGGTTATGAATGCCATGCAAATGATTAAGGTGTTGCTTTAAACCTGACATGTGTCAAGGCTGTGTTGGCCGAACGAAAACTGGCAAACCCAGGATTCAGGCGTGAGGGTGACAAAACTTAAGAAACGCTTTGAGTCTACATAGAACAGCCTTTTGCTGTCCGTATTCACACTAAAGACTGATTATTCGTCTGCGACGGGTTATCCGTTGGATACTTCGCGTCAGACAGATAATACGTCATAATTTGAAAATAGAACAGTCTTAATTTTGGATGGACAATCATCCAATCATTCATCCATCTGTTTTCCGTCAGTTTTGACGGATTTTGAATGGATTATCCGTCTGCGTCTCTAGTGTGACAACGGCCGCTAACTATCGGCTAGGCGCAAGCCACTAGTCAGTTTAGGGCTATGCATATAAAATATTTCAGTATCGAAGATGACTAGCGTCACTAACCTTTTGAAAGAAGATCCTCTCCATCAACATTCAGTGGCCTCAGCTTTAGCTGGTAACTAGGTGACATTTTTCTTCGATCCTCAGAAGAAGGGAGGATGCCGGACTTGAAGAGGTTTTCGAGGATGCGGAGAAGACTCTCGGACGCTTTGTTGTATAAAACGCCTGAAGAGCAAAATATACACTGTTTTGTTAAAGGATAAAACTGACAACAATACAAAACAAAGAAACAAAAAATTAATACGTACACTGTACTACTCCTTAACATATTCCCACCTCGAATTAGCGATATGAAATCAGTCCAGTTAGTTTAAAACCAAAAATATACAATCGGGTGGCCCATAATACTGCAACTTGTAATTTAACGGTAGCAATTTCTCAGTCACGAAGTACTTAGTAGTTCTTTAGAACTCGTTTAAGAAAATTCGAAGTGTTGGGTTTTGAGGGGATGGGAAAACTGGAGTACCCGGAGAAAAACCTCTCGGAGCTGGGGAAAGGACAAACAACAAAATCAACCCACATATGGCGTTAAGTAACCCTAAGATGGAGATCCTTTAACATTTTAGTAAAATCCAACTAGTGGTCTATTATCAATAATGCGTTCTGATTGGTTGAGCTACCACTAGGCTATATGTTGTAGCCCACTAGTAACAAAATCGCCGGCTTTGAAACTCAAACAATGGCTGCTGAATCGCGTTTTGCTAGCTAAAGTTGTTTTGTCTCAATATTTTTGACAAACTAGTTGGATTTTACTAAAAAAATTATATCTCTCGCCTTCGCGGCCTCATGGGCTATTGACTCAGAGCCCATTCGGGCTCGAAGAATAACTTTGTTAAGTATCCGATGGCACAGGTTACGCAGTTAATGATGTCATCGTGCTCAATTCAGGAAAACCCCAAATAGTAACGTCCTTGACGAGGTTTTTTGAGAGAATGAGTATTCCAACCAAAACTATAATTACTTTTAGCAGACTGCCTCGCTTGCGTGGCAGGCGCTGTTTAATTTTTTTTGGTTACTTTATTATAGATCGCTCGAGGGGAACTTGCGAAGGAGCGCCCTCGAAATTTCTCACTTTGCCCTGCTGGTCACTGAACCTAGTTCAAATCATTTTTTACATGTTCATGTAAGTAAGATCTTTCGCCCCATTTATACACTGAGGGATGGAAGAAGGTCAACGTGTGTCAGACTCTCTAGTACACGGCAGAAGTGCATTTACCGCGATACGGAACGACATGACGTCATGACATAACGTTTTTCATTTGAAGTTCGAACGTCGTCATTTATGAAACAAAGAGAAAGTTCTGTTGAGTTGCTCTATTGAGCATCCCCCAAAGTAATGAACTAAACATTGAATAATTTTTTATCTTATTTTAAATCCATATTTATCTAGGAGCATCCAATTGAGCAGAGCTAGTTTAAGTGGAGCCCTGAATAATTTCATGAAACTTTCATTAAGCAAAACATTGGAATTTGAACGGAAAGACAACATAACGAAATACATATAGGTATGCCTGGAAGCATCATTATTTCTGACTTCATTTTAAAAAAAAACGCAGATGCTAGAAGAACAGATGGTAACAAATGTGCGCCACACTCACACCTTACCCCTCAAAAAACAGAGAAATGAAATAAATTTCATTAAGAAAAAAACAAAAAATATGTGTTTACACCAAAACCAAAATCAGCATCACAGTTCGTGTTTTTTTCACATATGGCCAACTTACCACATAACCACAACAGATGACTCTGTGCACAGATGATGCGCAATTTTAGCAAAATCACTAGTTTCATCGAGACAGCTAATTTAAGGAAATAATTGTTAATTTAAGATTTAAATTCAGTTGTTGGCATTTAATACAATTTTATTTATATAGAGAATTGTTTCCAGAGAAAGCTATTTTTGTAGTAGTGGTTGTTGCTGTCGTTCGACTTCGTTCAAGGTTTTGTTTTTAGTGGTTTTCATGGTTAGGGTAACAGCGTATGCGAATGTTGCGAAGTTTCGAAATTAAGCACTTTTATGACTGAGTGTGATGTCTGGCTCACAAGTTACCGTTAGTTGTGTTTACTTGATCAAGAACAAGAGAGATAATCAAGAAATAATATTTATTAAGGGTTAAAAAAAAAGGACCAGAGAAGGTATATTTTTTTCAGTCAGTGACACAGGCGGGTCGGAAGACAAAATACAACCATAAAAAGAGAATTTTTGAAAAGAGTACACGTGAATGTTCACTCTCTGGAGTTTTATTCAAGGAATCAAAAGTTAAAGATAATCCAGTTAAAGAAAAATATGAATAAATGTAAAGATCAAGGGAAAACACTGATCTTCAGTTTGTTTACGAGTCAGAATCTTCTAGGATTTTATCCACAGAATAAGATGAATTAGCTTGCACTGATCGACAGACTGAACAATAAGGACGGCTTTTTAAGTTTGTGCTGAATGATTACTATTAGGATTCTTTCAATGCAGTTAAAACTAAATAACAAATAACTGCTTACAACCTGAAAGGGCTACATTCTAATAAACATGTTAAACTTACCGATTTCGATGTCTGTTGTTGCGATGACTGAGGTCTTGAACGCCAAGAAGATGAAGACAATGAGAGCTTTTCTCTCAAACATCTTGTGAACATCGAGCACGAAAAATCTCTAGCAAGGGAACAACTTGTGGATATCCTTCTCTCAGCAAGATGAGGTTTATTTGAAGTCGAAGATTGCTCCCTCTGATTTTCTAACAGTTCCAACTCAAATAGGAGTAATTCCAGCAAACGGATTGATCGAACAATCTTTCCGTTTCAATAAAATCGTGAATGCACACTTGATTGACATTCAAGAATCATCTGCTTAAATCATTAATACTTTCTACCGTGTTCACGATTTCATAATTAATGCATGGAAGGCATATTAAAAGTCTATATCGGGAAACAGTGAATCAGATATTTACTTATTAATGGGAGACAGTTAAACGGACAGATTTGCAAGTGGTAAACGTTCTGGCACGTACTCGCATTGGTAAGTAACGGAGATAACGGGAAAAGGCCTTTTAAGGGTCTTCATAGCGGTGTATTGAGTTCTTTCTATAATTAGTTACAATTGTAGTGTTTATAAATACACAAACGGTAATTTCAGCTATAAATGAAATGGAGGCAAGCAATATGATGACGGTGTTCGACCAATTTGCTCGTACGTGCCTGAGAGCTTGCAAACGAAGGAACCTTGCGCCGTAGTCGTTCTTCAAAAATGGGCTAAGACCCTTTGCAAGACCCGCACTTATTTTACAAGAACACTCTCACAGATGATAAAACAAAACGTGTTTCATTTTACGTAGGCTTATTCATCCCTTGCCATATTTCGCTCGAAAAAAAAAACGTTACAATTTTCACAGCAAAACTGAAAGCGAAAGGAGTTTCGAGCAAGCGTTGATTGGTTACAGTATGAAATCCATTTCAGTCTATTGTCTTCAATTCCGGAAAACGTACAGTCACAATATTTATTCGAAAAACAATGACGCTGAAGTCTTAGACCGACCTCTTTGGCGCCATGCTTTCAACTTTTAAGTACTAACGAGCTTATTTACCCAGTATTAATCCATATCACACATTTCTCAAAACCTCATAGGTACGTTTCATCGCCCGCAAATACTGTAATATATTGCGCGAAAACTCTTTTTGATTTTTCCTTATTTGGGGATAATTATAAAAATTAAGTACAATTTGATCAGTCTATTTCGTATTGCGTTTACTGACTTTTAAAGTCGAAGGTATAAGTTGTTTGCTCTGGTTGGGGACCTAGACTAATACAGTTATCTACTTTTAGCGAAATACCGAATATGTTTTTCATAAAAGTCAGTAGGTAGGGGTGTGGTTATTACTATATCACCTCGTCAAATAATGTATTACGAAGTACAGTTTCGCAGAAATCACTCTCGGCGCGGGAACAATTCGTATTTGGGTGAACAATGACAGAGATTCTCACTACTCTTATATCTTTTTTTATTGTTTAAGGTAAAGTCTCTCTATTGTTCGAGAAAAAAACGTTTCGATTACAAATGAGTAGCAAAATCATCGACCGCGAAAATCAAATCTTCAAAAGCCGCCGTAGTATAACAAGTTCCCACTTAGGGGAGTAGGGTGTAAGGAAAGTATACCGCAGAATGATCTACCAGGAGAGGGGTAAGGCAATAAGACCTCTTTACACAAGACGACTAAGCTTGTAGTCAACCTTTGATTATTTTTACCACTGTGTCCATGGATTGCAAAATTGCTTCCAGGACATTTTTAGTTTATGATTCCGTGATCAAAATGGGGATGGATTCATTTGAGTAGTGAGGGGAGAAAGAGATATTTTTTCGACATATTTAACTAGCGAGTAGGAAATACAGAATAGAACCTTTAGACGTTGCTTCCGTGTTGGAAACTACTAAAAACTAAAATCTTACCCTTGATCAAATTTCCTTTTGATATCACTTTAATTACTGTTATTGCAAAACATTAATAGCTTGTTTAATATGCCCACGAACTTTGAGTAAATATAGTATCCATTGGTCTCCGAGAGATAAGTCATATAGGAGGAGGCATTTCTGATAGTTTTTATATTGATAACTTAAATCACCATTTGAAGCTTATACCGCCGTCACTTACGCTTTTAAGCTGCATGTGAAGGGAGACGTCCTCTTTCCAAGCCACTTGAAGTAATTAATGGCTCTCACGAAAAAGCTCCATGGAATATCAGGGCCGTAGCCGGAAAAAAATAAGGACTGAGGCAATATCCATGGTTGAATTCCCCGCCTAACTATTCAGGGTCTTCGCTAAATAATGTCAAAACAAGCTTAAATTTTGGTTCGATTATTAAGAAGAAATGAGAAAGCATCTACTTACCGCTTTCTTTGAAAAAAGCTGTTGATGGAAAGCTGCATTTAGATAAATTTTCCCCCCTGAGGCCAGAGAAAAGAGAAGACTCGAGAAATGGCGGCAAAACGCAAGAAAACTAGGCAGTTTTCTTTGGGAAGCCGCTCCCTGGTTAGCATGAATTAATTTTGCTGAATTTTTGTCATCTGTAATTCAGGCAACTGCCTGATTCGCGTTATCATTAAACACAATACCGTGTTGCGTTAAAACTTTTTTATTTATTTAACTGTTTATGAATTTATTTGCTCTTAGTGTCTTAAGTTTCTTTCTCCTTCAAAAAAAAAAATCTCACTTTCCCCGAAAAAAAAGCAATACTGAGGCAAGTGCCTCGGTTTGCCTCATACTGCCTTTGGCCCTAAATATATTTAATAAAATTCAAAACACTTAAAGCATAATAATAGTGAAAAGAGCAGTTCAGGCACAGCGAAGTCTTTTCAACTTGTTTATGGGAGGCAGGAGCGTAGTTGTTTACATTAACATTTAGTATTTACTAGATTATGAGGGTTTATATTCTCAGATGTATCCGTAGCAGTAACCATTGTCACGGTTTCCAGCTTCGTCCTGCAGAAATAATATCGGAGCATTCAGTTACTTGAAATAACTGTAAAGGAAGTAATGCGGCTTCACTTATCATATAACTAAAAAAGAATATGATAGACAGAAGTGCCTTAAAACAAAATTTAAAGAAAAAATAGCAAAGGACAAATTTCAAAATAATAATAGTTTTAAACCCAGCTCTTGCTCAGGGGGGTGCGGGGTACTCGACAAATATTTTGGTATAGGTGAGCCGCTGTGGGTTTGAAACCTGACCCTATTTAGGAAAGAACAAATTGGTCTAAAATACATACCCTGTTTAGGGTAAAACCCTGGAATATATTACCATGTTTAGGACAAAGGACATGTACACTGTTTGGGACAAACTTGCGCGAAATTGTATACCTTGTTTAGGACAGAGCAGGCCCGTAGCCAAGATATTTTACGGGAGGGTGCGATCCTACGAGGAGACGGACCAAACGAGGCCGGAGGCGCAAGTCTCTAGGGATAGGGGGGAGGAATTCCACAAGAAAAACGGGGAGAGGGCAAACCTCCACGATTAGGACAATTACAGAACGCAACGCTACTGATCCAGCATCAGGAAGAAAGCACCAATTTCCAGTTTTAAGCGCAGATACAAGACATTTTTAACTAATCAGAACGTTTTCCCTGTCGTTTAGGTGTGAAGCTTCTTTAAATTGAGATTTATTTCAGGAAATTTTGGCCGTTTTTTGAATGTATTTTAAACTTTTTGTATTGTTAATGTAACTGTCGATATTTTTAGTTTAATGTACATAGTGTTAGAATCATTATAATATACTGACTTTACTTTTTAGGTTCTTTTTATAGTGTAACGAGGGCCACGAATTTATCATAAATGAAGCCTTTAAATTAAAATTAAATCAAATCAACTTAGGTTGTCTGAGACGGCATTTCGAGCGTTTTGAAGGCGGCACGATACGAAAACAGGTAGCCAAAAGCGAAACGCGGATATTTCGCAAAATGTTTGAACTTCAAAACTGATACTCTAGCAAAGTGACTACTTAACATATGTATTTTGATACTTGAAAATGGCATGGCAATGTCACTATTTAAAAAGAAAAAGTGGAAAGAAGGTGATAAATCTGATTATTCACTAGGTTTGCTGCTGATCATCATCATCTTTCAGTAATGTGCCACGTTGGGCGCTTCTTAGCAAACGGATCAACGACCTCTTCCAGATCAATGTCTGTTAGATAGTGCGCGCAAGTCATATTTCTCTAGTTACATGAAATTAGAGAAATATGACTTAATGAGAGCACGCTGATGGGCCACTCCCGCCATGGCGTCCAGTTCCAAACGCCCAGTAATCTCTAAATGTTTGATTTACTCGGTTCTGATAAACGTCTGCAGCAGGGGAAATAGTCTCTAATTGAACTTCTTTTTGAGACGTCTTCCGAATAGAGGTATCCATGGATTTACAAAATCTGGCGGCGGGCTTTCTTCTTGTTCACTTTGGTCCAATTGTTTTCGCGAAGCGGCAATATCCCCGTGTAGGCCATATGAGGGAGTACCCTCTCCCCGGGCTCTTGCTATCTAGACATTCAGGATAACACAATCTTTTCCGCGTTTGATATTCTACATGAATGTTACAAAGGATCTATTAAAGGCAAAAAGTTTGTTGACTGAGCCGTAAGCTTGTGACGTTCCAATGGTTACTAACAATAATGACAGCCTATTACTCTGAAAACCCAGCTACGTACCAGCTTTCGTCTCATTATCTGCAGAGGAGATTTGGGTTGTCTTGGGTTCCGAACATTTGACTCAAGTCTGACCTCGAAAGGAGGTGTGGTTGTTCAGTGGTTAGTGCTTGTGACTCGGTATCAAGACGTCCAAGTTTAGGCCCTGTCGTGGTCATTTTGTTGTGTTTTGGGCTAAACACTCTATTCCCACAATGCTTCACTCCATCTAGATGTATAAATTACTAGCAGCAAACTTATAGATGCTGGATGTAACCCTGTGATGGACGACTAAGATACGGCTTCCAGGAGGAGAAAAGAAATATTCCAGGTCACTTCATTCTGCAGAAATCGGGGTTAAGCTCTGACCTGATGGGCCACTTGGCTCCAATGCAGACTTCAGCAACCAGAAAGAACGTGGACATGCCAACCGGTGAAGAATAAGGTACAGCAGCAATGCCCTGGAGAAATGTTATTACTCTAACTTGTAGTTTCTATGCATTCTGCTTTGACGCTTAGTTGAACCTTAGCTGGCGTGCAGATTTCCCTCATGTAGGTTATTGCAGAAAGTGCTTAAAATGCCGCAACGTCGCTAGCCTTCCAGCTTAACCAGAGAGAAACTCTGGTTAGGCTGGAACATCCTGGTTTGTTTCTGCCCTTTCACTTTGATAAAATGTTGACAAATCTAATTGGATTTTTTCTTCCATAGTAAATAACAAATTACCAGTCTTAAAGGCTACAAAAGAAAACGTTTCAGAAATATTCTATACCTTTATTACTTGTTCAGCAAGTTATTCCAAGTGGACTTTTTCTGTCTCTTGTCGGGCTTGGGTGTTAGAACCTTATCACCTTGTGCCAATACCACCTTCACTCTTACTGTTCTGTCAATCGGCTCGTATTCGTGTGACTCGCAGTTTGATTGTCGCTTTAAAGTGGCCTAAAAGGAAATGAATATGATTTGAAAAATACTTTTCAGAAATTCTTCTTTGGATGAATGTACATTGAGACTACCTAAATACTCTGTACGGCTTAAAGCTCCATTAAGAGCAAGACATTTATAGTAGTCTTTTCTAGGAACCTTTCTCACTAGCTGATACAAAGAAACCAGCATGGCTGGCCCCGGGATCATGTTTTTTTTACACATTTAACTTAGCTTCCCAAGAAAATCTGGTAAATAATACTTGAAAATCGCTGTTGTCTTGAAGAGTAGCAGAAGTGAATGGACGCTACCACAAATTGGGGAGTGACATTTGACCAAGTGCCTTACCCCTAGGCATAATATTGAGATGCAGTTTTGCAACACGACAAGCCAATAATTACTCTCCTAATCAACTAACACAAAGCAGTACGAGAAAAAATAAAAATCCTATTTTCCCGCAAACATTTCCATGAGGCACAAAAATTGTCTTGGCAATTCCTCCTCTCGCTTGGAGCTTTATTGCTTTGCTGGATAAAAATGAACCAATGCATTAACAAGGAAATAGTGGTCAACATAATGTCGTTATTAATGCAGATACATACCAAACACTCAACTTTCCTACTACCTGGCAGTATTACCTGACCGCTTGTGAAGTATTCGACCAGTTTTTTACACCTTATTTCAAAAACCACCAGTACCAGAGAAATGATGACGCCACCAACCAAAACCAAGAATACTCCAGCCATGTTATTCAGGTCGAGACGTTTTGTGTTTCCAGTTTTTGACTGCTTCGGCTTTGGACACTTGCTCCGCTCGTCCCACCACTTATGACGAATCCTCTCAACGAAATTTCTTTCCCGCAACTGTAGAAGAACAAGAAGGTGCATTGGTAGAGGGAACTTAAAAAACAGTCACGTCTATACCTTCTCACAATATTTACTGACAGCAGATGCTGTGGCTGTTTCACAGACACTCACTCACTCAACGTTACCAAGTATAAGCAGTTTCTCTATGGTTTTTTATGGTCTGTCTCCTGATAAAAGCACCGAAATATAGATATAATAGGGAGTTTAAGATGCGACGACGGCGACAGCAACGAGAACGTCAAAAAGGCAATAGACTGCTTGGGAAAAAAACAACTGCCATCACTGCACAACTACGACGTGAAAAAGCCTCATTTCACGTTTTATGGAGGACATAGACAAGTGACGACGAAATTTTCTTTTTCATTTCTTTCTGAACTTGGATATGGTTGCTAGGGATTCGGCTCCAGAAGAGTTCGCCTGCATTTGACAAAGTAGGCGAATTGAAATAAGCACAACCTGATCATAAGGACACAAATTCACTTTTAAGCGTCATTTTCGTCGGCGTCGCTGCCGTGGTATCTTAAACTCCCTAGTGACGTTTCGATGGTTGACTGGTAGGTCTTTATTAGGCGACGGTGCAGCGGACAGGCGACGGATTGCGCTGCGTCGCAATTGCCACCGTGGTTGTTGCATATTTTTATAGTTTGATCCGTACTACAGCTGACTATTAACATTTCAAGATTGAGGACTTTTACACTCATTGTTCAAATTTCAAAAAGAAAAGCTATTGCAGGGGGAGAAATGTGAGATCTTTGACAACACACCCCAATTTTTGAAAATTCTATTCGTAATAGACTTGAAAAAGATTTAAAAATACGATGATCTTTACTTTATTGACAATTCTAGACTTGTCCTGGTTTCCTTTTTCAGCTCACTGCTTGGCGTCTGTACATTATATAAATGCACTTCTCATGTCAATAATATTACATGAATACTGAGGAAGACTCCGCATAAGACAAAAGTCCGTTTGAGTAAACTTTTTTTGAACAGTTATCAACCTGTGACCATCTCAAGATGTATTTTGCTTGCAGAATACTCTGATTCACTACGTTTTGTCCCTTTGCAGGCCAGGGAACATTTAGATAAGCGCCGTTAACGTGACTATACTCACTTTTAGGATTGCCACAGAAATTTCGTTAGTGTACTCGGAGTCTTTCTGCAACCCAATTCCGTATGCTTGGGACTGTAGCAAGTTGTTTAACAGCCTGGTATTGCACTTTTGGTGGTTGTAGTATTCGAGAAATGGCTGCTCCGTTAGGTATGCGTACTGTTCAGTTCTTGCTTTCTCGACCCCCTCTGCGGTACAATTAACAGCTGTATCGTATTCACGCATGTGGGAAAACATTCGTCGGTAAAGTTGGTCGCCTGAATTCTGGAAGAATTTCTGCAGAGATCCCCCGCGAAGAACTCCATATTTAATTTCGGTTTGATTTTCCAGTTCTTCTAATGAGTTTATCGTAGCAACGGTTCTTTTAACTAAGGAAGAGAATAGAAAATACCTCGACATCGCATTAAACATAATTCTAAAAAAAGCTAAACAATCTCACTTCGATCGATGTTAAGGTCCCGTCTATATCTGCCTATATCTCAGCAAGTTCAGGAGATAAAGAGATGTTTTAAGTTCTGCACATATTCTCCAAATAGCAGATGTCGTCCGTCGAGTTGTATTCTTGTTGTTCTTGCTATCTTTTAGGCCATTTCTTTTTCGGGAATTATGTGAAATCTTCCGCCGTTTTTTACTGCTCTACCAAAACAACGTAACCTCGTCCCCAGAGCTTCTCGGTGGCTGTCCATTTTTCTCGCATTCATTTATGATGTACTATTGACTTAATTTTCCATATATCGCAAACGGCTTCCAAATTTGGTCAACGGTAGCTGGTTATGAAGAATTAGCAGTGGGATTTGAGCCAATCAGAAAAGGAGATGTATGCTGAATGAATAATAATGAATTTTATGGCTTAAAAGTACAAGATTCTTGAAAACTGAAGTGAGCAGCAGAGGAATGATTGGCTAATGAGAAAGAGATGCGAACCGATTGGTGAACTGTAAGATTCAGAAAGGAAGTGACAAGAATATAGACATCTATACAGTGATGGCAAGCATTAGAAAGCTTTTTTGCATATTGGACAAAGCCACTTTTAGAGAACAAGTAAAATCTACTTATGTATATGCTGTCCACGGTAACAAACTACTAGCTCTGTCTCATCAGCATAGTATTTAGCGTTCCTTTTTTAAAATCCACATAATTCAAAGTATATGTTCCCAATACATACTTGTAAAGAAAGCAGCAAGATTTGCCGTGTAAGTAGATATCAGTATCAACGTAAAAAACCAGAACGCAGAGGCTAAAAGGCGACCAGAAGGAGCCAGTGGAGTGTTGTCCGGACCCTGCTGCAGAATCGAAGCTGTGGCAAACCAAAGGCTGTTTAACAAGTTAAATTCGTTTCCAGGTTCGTTATTTGCTGCTTGGGCTCGAGCATGGTAACCAAAAGGGCTTAAATAGTCCATTGCATACATCACTACTGTCATACCAAGAACCTAAGAAAAAAAAAAAAAACTAAGGAATTATACACACCAGATAACTTATTTGGATTGATGGAGTGCGATTAAGGGTGCGACTGGACTTCGCGATATTATTATCCTAATCTTCCATAGGATTTTTTTAAAAGTCACTGCAATGCCACGTGATACTGAATATTTTTTAGCTGCCGAACTTATAGATGTAAGAGTACAGTTGTTTGTACCTAAAAGAAAGGGCTGTTAGTCTATTAGGTTATTCCATTTACGTAATTATCTTGCGACCAATTGCAACATTGAACTACAAAAACCTAAAAACAAAATATATATAAGAAAGCAATAGTACTCCTGTACTATTGCATTTTGTTCAGTGAAAATCTGAATGAACTGGACAATGGACCAGTACATCAAAAAGTTAATTTCAAGCACTGAGCAGAGTTAGTCAGCCATTTAAAACTTCAATTTGTTCCTGTCTTCCCTACGCGTTCTCACAAACGGACGATTCAAGGTTGTGTAAGTTCAACATCAAAGTGGTAAATGCAATTTTTCTGTAGGGACGTCATAAAACAGTCCCCTTAGCTTGTGTAGATGTTAATGGTGTTTGCGTCTCTAACGAATTTGCCTCGCTAAAGGCCTCCATAAATTTGCCTCTAAATAAGAAAAACGGTTATTAATAAACGTAAGCTAAAAGAAGCATAAGACAGTAGGCAAACATATGGGAACATATCTGAACCTTTGAATTATTTGTATAATGTATTAAAGTATAAAAAGAAGACAGAAGAAAACGTCACCACTCCAACTATAGAGAGCCACACAACACCCGTGAAAGGCATGAGGAAGGCAAAGATGTCAATTGCAGGCTCTCCCGGTTTCTGCATAATAAGGCTGATGCTGAAGTCCATGAATGGTTTGCTAAAGTCGATACGCATCTCGCGCTCAGCAGTTATCGTGATGGGACCAAGCGCAATATCTTTCTTCTGCAAGAGAAAAGTGTTACATCTTTTAGAGAAACCTTTTATGCTAAAGGAGCTGTGTCACGAAATGTATGAAAATTCATAAAGAGGAAACTGTCAACAAATTGAGTGAAACGTTAAATAACAGCTCAAAAAGTTAGAAGAAGGTATAAATGACACAGCAAATACAAGGAAGCACAGATCGACAAACATAAAAGTACCATTCATTTATATTGCTTCTTTGGTTTATCAGTGTAAAACTGGAAACAACAATTTCACCTCGAAACATACACTACCTGTTGTGTCAACTCTTCCACCAATCCATCGTAGTTTTTATCCAAGTAAATATCGTATTCGAACTTCGCAAGTTTTGATAATTCTTCTATTAAGTCTATGCAAAACCCCTGAAGAAGAGTTTTAGGAACTATATCACCTTTTGGAAGTCTCACGGATTCGTTCACTTTTTCAACAAAGGGTTCCTCCTGAAACAACAGCAAAATAAGAATTATAAGAAGTACCATTAAGTTTCTTGGTGTTTGAGGCATTGCATGCTTTATAACAATTATAGCCTAGTGTTAAAATGGGAGCTTTCTTTCATGCCGAAGCATTTCGTGAAAGTTCGGTTGCCCATTTCATTGGTCCCCCTCCAGAGCTAGTGGGCTCTTTGAGCGGACAGTCCGTTTCGACCAAAACTTGCCGTTCCTCTTTCAAACATTTTCCTTCCCAGTCCCAATTTAATGAAAAAATTATCAAACTTTTGATCGAAATGTAAATGAAACAATTCGGTCGGGCTGGATTTTCTTTTGATCGACAGTTGTAGTCCCATTTTTCCTCGGCTTAAGTTCCGTTAGTTTGCGACTAGTGAGATCAATACAATGGAAAACACTGATTTCTTCGATCTAATAAGACAAAAAGTTACTAGGTTTAGACATTTGTGAAGAATGGCCAGTAGCCTTTAATGTTACGAAAACACAAAAAATAGTTCGATAACACGTGTTCTCTAACAAGGCTAACAAGGTGTGAACACGTGTCCTTACCAAAAAAGTGGTGACCTTTAACCGAGGAAGAGGTTCCGTCTTATGGGGCCCAGTTGCACCTGGATTATGGCATTTTATAATTTCAGCAAAGTCTCCCACCCAACGAACCGTTTCGTTTTCATTTAACGAAACATGGTAATGTCTTATTCCCGGTTCAGGTCGCCAAGAGCCGACCTGCAAAATAATACCAAGAAAATTACCAAACTAATTGTAATAATTTAACTTAAACCCTGACAATTGACTTGCAAGAATGACTTAAAAAATAGCCGAGAAAAGCATAAAGCAAAAATAACAGAGCAGTGCGTGTTTCTTGGTGTTGTGGGAACTTGTTGTAGGTCTCGATTATTCATGGCATACCTTTTTTACTTCATCTTCAGCAATATTCAGAATGTCAAGACCGTTATGCAGTCTCCGTTCACCAGTAACCTGGTCGAACTGCACTTCTCCTGTAACACCTTGAAATTTAACCTTTGAATTAAGAGAACAGATGGTAATAAAGGACATATTTTCACTCCTGCTTATGAAACCCTTGAGATAGATGAGGACCCTTCAGGACAAAAGCTTAAATCATCCCTGTAGAAACTACGTAAAAAATAATTAGATTAATTATGAATACAACGGAAATGAGACTAAACTTTATATTTAACGATCATTTATACTTTAGTGGTTTATTTTAAACAGGTCAAATTGACGCCTTAAACTGAGTTCAAGAAAGATGGATCCATGCGCGGGGGTACTTCCCTATAGAAGTGAAGGAGGTGCTCATCGTACATTTTAGGGGTTTCAATTTGTGGATTGGTACCGCTTAATCCAAGAAATAGAAAGTGAGAGTAAAGGTTGCCGGTAGTGGAAATGACGCCATCTCGCCGGTAATGAAAGGAAAGCCTCTTTTGTGTAGTATTCAGCGGCCTTAGTCTGTGGTTCAGCCATCGCTTTCCCAAAATAATCGATGATTGATGATGAAAGAAAACAATTGAAAGGAAATTACCTAATACCAAATTTCACTAACTTAGTTTTAAAATTTCTTTTTTTTTTTTAAGAAAAAAAATTAATTTCAGAAGTTATTTCTATCTCGACCATGCTCTTTAGGCACCTCCATGACCACAGTAAGACGGGCAATATACAGTCAACTTTCTCTCGACGGACACCTCTATAAGACAGACACCTCTGTAAAACGGACATCTAGAGTTTGTCCCTGCCTTTCTGTACTCCCGTTATTTGCTGACGGACACTTAGTTCCTGTCCCAGCGATATCCATCTTAGAGAGAGTTGACTGTGGAAAGGTACCTCTCTTATATGCTGCAGTAGCTTCCAACCGGGTCCTTTATGCTGTGTTGATGCCCGGCGTAAAGCACACGTGGCATTGCTGACACGAGTAAGACTGATCTGCGTCCTGTCGTCACTACCTGCGATAACATTCGTCAAAGCCATACCCACAGTAACTGCTGCATCGTAGACGGATGCATACACCGACTGCAAACAGAGCTGTAAGTTATTAAGTAGCCATCATACAACAGGGGCTAGGATGGACATTCAGATCTAAATTCACACTTTGCCGCACCTTTTTCCCACACTTTGAGTGTTAAAACATCGCGTAATTAAATGTCCGGCTTTCTCTCAAGCGTCCAAACCCATGGTTTAGATACGCAGCAATCGAAAAATTGACCGAACGTTTCCTTTACACAGTCCTTCTAGTCCTGACCATCATATCCGTTGTCAAAGAGATTCGTAATTTCAGTGTAGTAGTAGATAACGCTAAACAAGCACCTGGGTTACATGTCGAGTAACTTTCACCGTGTCTATTGTTTTCAACCAGCTAAAACAACAGCTACACTTGTAACTGTGTTATAAAGTTGACCCCTGTATCATTGTTTTTTCTGTGACACATTCGCCTTCTAGCTGATCATCAGCAGAAAAAAGACGGATTACTTTGATAACCCACCAGTGAGTATTCGACTGTGGTTCCTTTTAATGCCACCACTCGTAACACTCTCGCCTGCTGCTCATCACCAACATGAAGCCTAAGACCAACCATTCCAAGAATTGAGGGATATGTCTGATTGGCACCTGCAACCTCCTAACAGTGAAACAAATTGACAAGGATACGTAACATTTGTTTCTAGGGGAAATAGAAACAGAAAGGCGCGATACTGTATGACACAACAGCGGGAGAGTATATCTGAAAGTTCTCATAGACAATAGACCTTATTCTCGATACCTGCCATCTTTGCACGCGCCTTAGGATCGATGGGATAAAAGCAATGTCACTTGGTATTTCAGGGGGCAAACAAGTGTTAAAATTTGCTGATAAGAGCAATGGAAGTCGAGTTTCTATCAAATCCAGGGGCCCGTTTCTCGAAAGTCCCGATAATTAACGGGCCCGGTAAGCTGTCTCCGTTTACATTAAAGATCGAGGTTTCAATAGTTTTGCATCTAACATGATAAAACTGTCAGTTAATGAAACTAAATGGAGTAGTTTGCTAGCCAGGACCCGCGCTCTTATTCTTTATATTTCGATTTGAATTTTTGATTTCGGGCCCGTAAAGTTACCGGGACTTTCGAGAAACGGGCCCCAGGGCCGAGTTGTTCAAAGCTGGGTGAAGATTACCGAGGGTTCAAGTGGCAAATTTGAATTCAGACATGAAATCATAAAAAGGCAAATTTAGTTTAACTCTTCTTGTCTACGACTTGTCTGCATTCCTTGATAAAAAGGTCATGCCAGACTATGAACACTAGAACTATTTGGTTAACTCATTAGAAGCGTTAATAGATCTTACCAAATCAGGTGTAATCCATCGGTAATCTTTGTCGTTTATTCCAACAAACAGAGCCTAAGAAAGCCAAACCGAAATGAGTACAACTGAGGGCATGTTACCGGAAAGATTTCACGTTTAAGGCAATAAAATTCAACTTCTTTAGGAAGCCTTCACCTTTAGGAAGCACCTATAGAAACTAGAAGTACTGTCATAGAGCACACAACAAAATTACCTCGATGAAAACTGAAATTGCAATTAAAACACCAAAAACATTAAGTTTGTGCACCTCATTCATAATGTGAGCCAAGTCTCTTTGATCACAAAATATGACGATATCTCTAATATGTGAATGAAGTATTCGCTTCAAAGATTCACGCAGTTTTTTTCTGTCGTTTAGTACCAGTTCAGGTATTATGTGAATATCAAACCGTGGCCATCGACGCATTGTGGCGTAGAAATGAGACGCTTCCCTCATTCTAGGTACTAAAAAAGAGAGAAAATTTAAGCTACATAACTACAGTAAATAAAATCTATTCCTGGTGACATTAATTTCGTTTTATAAAGGAAGGACGAAACAACAAATTTTTAGGTCCTTCAAGTGTCCAAATAATAATACCAGTTTTCCCTTTTTTTTATCTAGCTCGTATACTGCTTTATCTAGCTAATGAATTGCTGAATCAGTAAAACTGAGCCCCTCGAAATTTGTGCAGAATTCACAAGGAGTAAACGTTACGAACTTTAGCCTCAAATTTCGTAAAGATCAGTTCATTATTTGAGAATCGGAAGCTTACCAATAAATACTCGAACTTAAGAGTTTCATGTGAGATTGCTTCTTGATGTCTAAATATCATACGAAACTCTTCTCGAGTTTTATTGATTACTTCAAAAACCGAATTGAAGAACAAGTTGCATTCAAAAAACGTACCGTCATACACCACCGCTATTCTCGTAAACGAAAAGAAATCCATGATGTCAAACAAAGCCTGGCTGACAAGATGTTTTGATGGTCTGATAGACACAACATACGGGTGAATGGTACTATCCTTCAATGAATCCACCTTCATCAACGGCACTTGAAGCACAGTACTCACATCTAAAGCCTTTTCATCATCACATGCCAAATCGATAATACACTTTACCTTTGAAAAGTTGGATAACAGCTCTGCAAATTAAAGGAAGTCCTTGTGAGACAACGGTGGACAGTATCAGAACCCGTTGTGAATAGTTTTTTTGTTTATTTCTTTTCCTCCGAAGGATTTCCTCGTGCTCTTTGTGTTTCCTATACTAGTTAATCTCCGTTCTGTCGAGTTATCCCTGCTACCTTGTAAGAAAACCGGGTTATGAGGTGAACTAAGAATGCGATACAAAGCAAGCCAATACACTTGAGACGACCTGCCGATGGATCTCAAACCGGCCAAAGAAGATCATAAGAAAGACCCCGAACTTTGGGGCGTTACGATGTAACATAAAGAATTGCTGAATCCGTAGTCAACCAGAGAAGAGTCTGGAAGTTGAATTATCAGATATTCTGAATAGTATTATTATTATTATATTTATTATTATTTTTCATTAGCAGCGGTAATATTTCTAAATATAGGGATATTTAATTTTATTCATGCAGGTTACTTAGGATAAAGGGTTTTTACTTTAGTAAACGGGTGACGCTCATGTGCAGTCATGCTATTTAATGACAGGATGTAGCATAAAAACGTTTTAATTCTAACATAATATTAAACATAAATATAAACGGGCTTGAATACTATAACGGGCTTTATCACTACATGTACTTTGTATAAGCATAACCTGAACAATCCCTAAAATGGCAATAGTAATCTTATCCACCCTACCTTTAGAGAGAAGATCTTGGCCATCAACCATAACATGAGAACCTAAGGTGAACTTGTAGTTTTGTGGCTGTAGTAGTCTTTTTGGAAGAAGATAATTGATCACGTATTCTAGAACGCGAAAGAGGCTCTCGGTCTTATTACTGTACAATGCACCTGTGAGATAAAATGCTCATATGGTCAGGATGGTTTAAAAGAAACAATCTTCCGGTACTACTTGTCTACTGATGATCACTTGCGTATGCTTTACCAGACCTGGATGCACAGATAACTTATAAATAAGCTTCTCATATGACTATTATATTTGCTTGACAGTATGTCTCATCTCATCTCCCTGGTACGGGATAAAGTCGGATGATGTTGGATCTGTTTATAACATGGCCTTCGGCTGTGAAGTCTAAGAAAGTGCTAACCCCTTATGCGCCTCAAGGGTAGAAAATGTAACAAAAATTTGAAAGTAACGAGAAAAATCCCAAATCACGTTTTTCACATGATGTTTTCTAGGTATCGCCCTAGTGGTAGCGTTCCTTTATGCAAATTGTTAAATTCGAGGCACTTTAGAATACACTGGCTTTCAACGAACATGAATGGTGAAAAGAGCCAAACACTTTCTGTACGTAACCACAATTATCGTGAAAATTTTGATTAATTATTTATCTTACTCGATAAAACTTAAAAGAAAAAGCAGGGGTATTGTCTGGCTGTCAGCTGGTAAACAAAGGAAAGTTGGAGAAACTGAAATTGTGTCATACTTTACATTCAACCGTGATGCATCTAACCCTGAGTCTTTGTTAACACAGAAAAATAGCATTTGTTTAATTGTCTTTTTAATGTTTCTGAGCCTTTTTTATGTCTGTGACTTGCCAGATTGACCAACAGAAAGGAGAAGAATTGACTAAACCTCTGAATTTCAGATGAGGAGAGAGTTTTTTTAGCTGATGGCTAAAATTTTAACTGGTATATAATATATCACAAAAAACTCTCAATGAGAACTTCAAGACATGATGTTACGAGCATTGTGCATTCATGACCAAAGCGAAAAACGTTAAATAAAAGTATCCCGGAACTGAAAGAACAAAACAAATACTGAACGACAGTCAAGACGGGAATTTTTGAAGGGGTTTTCTAGACCGCATGTGCGAAAGAAAATGTCACAGTGATTACTTTACTCCTGACTCGTTCTGTTTTGTTCAGACTCTGTTTAACCAGATCATTTTTAAGCAGTAGCCTTTAAAATCATTTTGAAGCACCTTTTTCTCATACGGTCTAATAGTATATAAATCTATTTTTTATGTCTTTTTGCAAAGATAAATACGTAACCACACACGTTTGCAAACCACTTTCCCCAGTCAACACAGACCAAAATGGTTCATTAATTAAAAATGAGGTGCCATCACACTTGAATTGCAGTCACTACCAAAAACGTTTCTGATTAAGGTCGTGGGAGATCAATAAACAGGAAAAACTGCGGATATTGCTTTGCAAAAAATACAACGATAAATTCTGAAATTAAGCATTACTATTTTAATTTTCTTTTCCACAAATGAAGGGATGTTTGGATGAATGAAAGAAAAGAATTGCCACTGCTATATACATGGCAGTGCAGTCTTTCCAACATACCTATCTTGATGTCTTGAATTTTCCCCTCTGAAGTAAAGGCTGAAGATGACACAATGAGAACAATGCAAATAGTAACGGATATTTTACCCATCCTGGGTAAGTTCACAATTACTGAGGGAAACCTTAATCTGAATTAGAATTCACTCTTTTCTCAATTCTTGCTTCACCATTCTTTGCAGACTTGACAAAATTATGGAAGACTTGAATGACGCGCGATAATTTTTTGCCTTTGAAGACTAACTTCCAGTAAAACTGCCAGACTAATTTTCAGTTTGCCCTGTCAATAAAACTTTAATTCCTGTATCAATTATTGAGAATTATTTAGACATACCACTCACCGTTGAAAATAAATAATTGAGTCACAAATGGCCCTGGGAGAGCATTATATGTGTGGCGTGTAACACGAAGGCCAAGCCGATGAATGCAACTTTACGCTGAGAATTACTGCAACATAAAAACACAGCGTTCCCTTCAAGAATAGTTGAGTAAACTTTTTTAAATAGCAAGTCAATCGTACATAGACACTGCATGAACCGTAAATGTGTAATGGAAACTAACATTTGTTAAGTGGCGTTTTTCTCAGTAATTTTTAGTAAAATTTAGTGTTTTGTCAACAATACGTTTTAGACTGATATCATCAGAGATCGCATCTCGATTTTCCTCTCGCTTAAACAGAGTTATTATTACCAATCTTCACTTCTTAATTATGACGCAAAATGTTATTTGATTTTTTGCCTATCAGTTCTCATTGAAGGATGGCCAAATCTGTTCCGAGAGCCAGGCTAGCCATTCGAGTGTGTAGGCCATGCCTAAAAAGTTCATCGCCCTTTCGTTCTTTGCTAGGTCAGTCTTGAGGTAAAAAAAGCGCGGATGCATCGGCGAATTTAACGGCGGCCGCAGCAACTCCTTGTGGTCTGTTCTCTAAAGCCTTTATTTCGGGATAAAATTGATGCTCTTAGAATTTGTTAGTAAATAAAGCTGGCACGCACCATAGACCACTATTTCTGAAATTTTTGGACCCGCCCCTGAAATGTATGCAAACGTTTTCTAAATGCAAAAAATATCAGAGATATAATAGTGATATAAAGTGAATTAAGAACAATGGAAATAGGCTCATCTCTCACCACACCACTTTTTTCTTAACAGATGAGCCGAATATGGCCGAGAACTGTACATTACCTAATATATACTATGTCTGGAATATATAAGTTTCTTCACCTCGAGATCAATGTTCCAAGAGCACCCATTATGATATTAGAATCATACTCAGTGCCATCAGAGACTCCATGGATACGCTTCACTTCAAATGCAAGGTCTTGCTGTCTATCAGCCATTCTGTTCTTCGTGCAGGTACCGCAAAATCAGACAGATTGCTGTCTTTGCGCATCCCCACTTTCTAAACGCCTGGAAAAGTCTTAAAAAATTTGCCTCCTTACTAGACTTCTGCAATGAATATTCCGTCCCGATTAGCTGCTTTTGGATATCCAAAGAAGGGTTTGACCATGCTGAAGTTACAATACACAGAAGTTGTCGTGGCTTTTCTTCAATTAATACACTTGGAAATATTCTAAAAGAAATACACGAACGCAGTTCCATAAAATGTTTTTATATATACTAAATTTAAAAGAGTCTTTTATTTCATTTATTTGCCCATTTCATACACTTTTTCTGCAGATTACATAGTATTTGTTAACGAGCAGGAGATCTTAGAAGCCACTAGGGCTAGATCCCCGTAGTAACAATATATAATTTACAGTTTTATGATGGCTACCCTACAAATACTAGTTAACAAATTACTTAACATATGCGCTAAATTCTTTCTGTTAAATTGCATTGTTTACCTGGTACTCGTTCATAGTAATCTATGTATTATATATGTAAGATTTTAGAGGATTTTTAAATAATCTGTAGGATCCTTTGTTTTTCGATTTTCTGGCGAATTATTCTAAATATCTGCTCCCATGTATGTTGTAGAAAATTTTCCATAATTTGTTCTTTTATAGTCAGTATGTAGTTTTGAAGCTGATTGTGTGTTGTGGCTATGTATAACATCATTTGTAAAAACGTCTTTTTTTCAAAAATAGAAGGTAATTTGTTATTAAAGAATGAGTACACGAAAAGAGCAACAAATATTTGTTGATTTCTGGTGAAGTAAAGGTGTTTGCTTGATTCCCTGTAATTTGAAAATGCCATAATTCTTACCAACTTTTTCTGGGTCATAAAAATAGATTGAAGTCTTGTTGGATACGTGCTAGTCCAGGAAATATTACAATAAGATAAGTAAGGATATACCATTATACCATGGTATATAAAGTAAGTAGACATTTGCGAGGTAAGTAATACCTAGCCTTACCTATTATTCCAGTCATTTTTGCTATTTTTGATGACATTTGATTTATGTAGTATTTCCATGTTATTTCATTATCAGTATAAAACCCTAAAAAATTTTGTATATTTAGTAACTTGTTCAATATCCAATCCATTTAATTTAATTGACATATCCTTAGGTTGTTTTTCCGTTTTGATTTAAAAACTATATAATGAGTTTCCGTTACGTTCAAAGATAACTTATTTGCTGATAGCTATAACCTGACCAAATTTTTTCCAGCGCCTGATTAACAGTATTAACCAGAGTGCTTACATTTTTATCACTATAAAATAAGTTTGTGTCATCTGCGAATAAGATTAAAGATAGAATCCTTGAGCTCTCACATACGTCATTAATAAAAGTGAGAAAAAGTAGAGGTCCTAGCATGGATCCTTGTGGCACCGCGCATTTAATAGTTAAGTTGTTTGAATTGGATGATTTGTACTAAACAAGCTGTTGTCTATTAGTTAAGTAACTTCTAAACCAATCGAGCACTGTCCTCCTGATTCCTCATAGAATCTCAAGGTCTACAGTATCAAATGCTTTTACAAGATCTTAGAACACCCCAACAGTATATTCATTGTTATCAATAGGCTATTTGCACGATGGCGTCACTTCACTACTACGACCAGAATCCTTTTCGTTTTTCCTTTCATATTTAAATTTGGTAATCCCAGCGAGGATTAAATAACAAAAGCCCTAATTTGCACAAGAAAGCAAAACCCTGAAGGATTCTGGTCGTGTAGTAAAATTACGTCATTGTGCAAGTGGGCTATTGACTTCAAAATCCTTGTTAAATTAGTTGATCTTTTCTTGCGAAATCCATACTGGTTATCAGAGAGTATGTTATGTCTTTCTAAATAGCTCACAAGTCTCTTACACATCAGTTTTTCTAGTATTTTGCTAAAACACGGGAGAAAAGATATTGGCCTTTAGTAAAATCCAGCTAGTGGTCTATTATCAGTGCTGCGTTCTGACTGGTTGAGCTACTACTAGGCTATATGTTATAGCCCACTAGTAGCGAAACGCGAGGGCTTCTTGGCGGCAAAAAAGGATTAAGGCTAGCTTTACTTTTTTTAATCTCGATATTCTTGACCAACAAGTTGGATTTTACTAAAACAATTATTCCTCTCGCCCTCATGGCCTCTGAGTCAATAGCCCAATCGGCCTTCGGCCTCACGAGCTATTGACTCAGAGCCCATTCAGGCTCGAGGAATAATTGTTAAATTGGTGCCTTTCATTTGCTTTAAAAACAGGAGTTACCAATGCAGTTTTTAGCTCATTTGGTACTACACCAGTGAGAAATGTTTGATTGTAAATATGTATGTCAGAGGTTAAACTATGTATTTTGATATCTTTTTGACCACTTTTGGGGCTAGATCACCATATCTCGTGGCATTGTTTTCCTTTAATAGGCTTATTTCAACCTCGACCTCCTTCTCCGTTATTAGATCTAAAAATGTTGAGTTGTTATCTGTATTAGTTAAGTATGCTTTATAGTTTGTAGATTGCTCTGAATTTTTCTTAGCCAAACGTGGACCAACATTCACAAAATATTCATTAAGGTTGTTTGCTATTTCCTTTTGGTTTGAAACAATCGTTCTATTTCTGTTGAAACTGTCTGGCATATCCTGCCTAATTTTCTTTTTGTTTATTATTTCATTTCTTAATTTTCATGTCAGCTTCACATTTCCCTTATAGTTTGTTTTCATATTACAAATTGTAAATTGTAAATTGTAAATATCTTATTATCCACTCCCCTCAGGGCTTTTCAGGGATAATTTACAACACTGGTTGGGGGACTTTGCCAGACTGCTTAAGGTGCAGTTTACAAGTAATGAAGGAATGAGTAATGATGCCCCCATACATAAGTGTGAAAGTGAGATAGACCACTACACCGGGCACTACGTGCCCTACTCTTTACGAAGAGTGTGTGGGTTCTTTAACGTCCCACAGATTTAATACATGTGCAAGGGCTTGTGAGACGGGGCCTACGGTTTATCGTCCTTATCCGAGAAGACTAGAAAGTCTAGCCGTTTGCAGATATTATTACAAAGGCAGCACTTTCTCCTCAGTTATTTAAAGACCTTGAGTGTTGGTCCGGCCGGGGTTTGAACCCGCGACCTCCCGCTCAGTAGACCGGCGCTCTCCCAACTGAGCTAACCAGGCGGCGGTTTACAGCGGCGGCGGTTACAGTTTTTTGGATGATTTCTATAGTTTCTTATATTTGTTTCTGTATTATTTTTTAAGTGAATTCATTTCATTCAGTTGGTTTTTAAAGGTATTTCTTATAAAGTTATTTAGTCGCTTATGAGGTACAGTTTGCCGAAAGGTCAAATGAACGATGGAACTGAGACGGAAAAACAGCAATTTATTGGCGATTTTATTTCTTTAACACGTTTTGACCTGACGGACGTGAATATTGAATATCAACTACGATTGAGTACACAATATCGGGCTATTGGTGCATTTTATATCCCTACCCCCTTAGTCGCGGACTTTGAAGATTTTAAAATAAAATTGCATTCATCCCTGAAGACCTCCGTAGATTATGGATCTACCCATGTTCTTGAAAGGAATTCACTGAGGAAAAATATGCATGTTCCTCAACCGGCAGTGCGGATAAATTTAAATTCAAGAGCCCATTAGTAACTAACACGAGATGAGAAGTTAAAACTAACCACCGCCGCGTTAGAAGCTTTTAGCGTCACAGGTTATTAAAGCCCAGAGCCTCAAAAGACGCATTAAGGGTAAATGCAAATTTTTTAAGACCAGATTAATGAGTGTCAAATGGTGTAATTAAACACTTGTGGGCTTTTAATAGCTCGGATCGTGTAAGAACTGATTGCCATTCTCTTTCACTCATATCATCCCCGTGCGATATCAGCAGATGGTGACACAGATTAGCA